TCAAATACCTGTACTTTCTACTTCTTACATGTTGAACCAAATACCTGTACTTTCTACTTCTTACATGTTGAACTCAAATACCTGTACTTTCTACTTCTTACATGTTGAACCCAAATACCTGTACTTTCTACTTCACATGTTGAACCAAATACCTGTACTTTCTACTCTTACATGTTGAACCCAAATACCTGTATTTCTACTTCTTACATTGAACCAAATACCTGTACTTTCTACTTCTTACATGTTGAACACAAATACCTGTACTTTCTACTTCTTACATGTTGAACCAAATACCTGTACTTTCTACTTCTTACATGTTGAACCAAATACCTGTACTTTCTACTTCTTACATGTTGAACTCAAATACCTGTACTTTCTACATGTTGAACCAAATACCTGTACTTTCTACTCTTACATGTTGAACTCAAATACCTGTACTTTCTACTTCTTACATGTTGAACCCAAATACCTGTACTTTCTACTTCTTACATGTTGAACCAAATACCTGTACTTTCTACTTCTTACATGTTGAACCCAAATACCTGTACTTTCTACTTCTTACATGTTGAACCCAAATACCTGTACTTCTACTTCTTACATGTTGAACTCAAATACCTGTACTTTGTACTCTCTTACATGTTGAACCAAATACCTGTACTTTCTACTTCTTACATGTTGAACTCAAATACCTGTACTTTCTACTTCTTACATGTTGAACACAAATACCTGTACTTTCTACTTCTTACACGTTGAACTCAAATACCTGTACTTTCTACTTCTCACACGTTGAACTCAAATACCTGTACTTTCTACTTCTTACACGTTGAACTCAAATACCTGTACTTTCTACTTCTACATTGAACTCAAATACCTGTACTTTCTACTTCTTACAGTTGAACCAAATACCTGTACTTTCTACTTCTTACATGTTGAACTCAAATACCTGTACTTTCTACTTTTCACATGTTGAACCCAAATACCTGTACTTTCTACTTCTTACATGTTTGAACTCAATACCTGTACTTTCTACTTCTACATGTTGAACCCAAAATACTGTACTTTCTACTTCTACATGGTGAACTCAAATACCTGTACTTTCTACTTCTAACATGTTGAACCAAATACCTGTACTTTCTACTTCTTACATGTTGAACTACAAATACCTGTACTTTCTACTTCTTACATGTTGAACCCAAATACCTGTACTTTCTACTTCTTACATGTTGAACTCAAATACCTGTACTTTCTACTGTTCACATGTTGAACCAAATACCTGTACTTTCTACTTCTTACAAATGGTGAACCCAAATACCTGTACTTTCTACTTCTTACATGTTGAACCCAAATACCTGTACTTCTACTTCTTACATGTTGAACACAAATACCTGTACTTTCTACTTCTTAAATGTTTGAACAACAAATACCTGTACTTTACTTCTCTCATGTAATCAATATACTGTATTTCTACTTTCTATGTGAACTCAATAAAAAAACAAAAATACCTGTACGTTTCTACTTCTTACATGTTGACACACAAATACCTGTACTTTCTACTTCTCTCATGTTGAAACTCAAATACCTGTACTTTCTACTTCTAACATGTTGAACTCAAATACCTGTACTTTCTACTTCTTACATGTTGAACCAAATACCTGTACTTTTACTTCTTACATGTTGAACTCAAATACCTGTACTTTCTACTTTTCACATGTTGAACCCAAATACCTGTACTTTCTACTTCTTACATGTTGAACCCCAAATACCTTGTACTTTCTACTTCTACATGTTGAACCCAAATACCTGTATTTCTACTTCTTACATGTTGAACTCAAATACCTGTACTTTCTACTTCTACATGTTGAACACAAATACCTGTACTTTCTACTTCTTACATGTTGAACACAAATACCTGTACTTTCTACTTCTTACATGTTGAACTCAAATACCTGTACTTTTCTACTTCTTACATGTTGAACTCAAATACCTGTACTTTCTTACTTCTACATGTTGAACACACATACCTGTACTTTCTACTTCTTACATGTGAACCCAATACCTGTACTTTCTACTTCTTACATGTTGAACACAAATACCTGTACTTTCTACTTCTTACATGTTGAACTCAAATACCTGTACTTTCTACTTCTTACATGTTGAACACAAATACCTGTACTTTCTACTTCTTACATGTTGAACATCAATACCTGTACTTTCTACTTCTTACATGTTGAACTCAAATACCTGTACTTTCTACTTCTACATGTTGAACACAAATACCTGTACTTTCTACTTCTTACATGTTGAACACAATACCTGTACTTTCTACTTCTTACATGTTGAACCCAAATACCTGTACTTCTACTTCTTACATGTTGAACCACAAATACCTGTACTTTCTACTTCTTACATGTTGAAACCAAATACCTGTACTTTCTACTTCTTACATTTTGAACACAAATACCTGTACTTTCTACTTCTTACATGTTGAACTCAAATACCTGTACTTTCTACTTCTCACATGTTGAACTCAAATACCTGTACTTTCTACTTCTCACATGATGAACTCAAATACCTGTACTTTCTACTTCTTACATGTTGAACACAAATACCTGTACTTTCTACTTCTTACATGTTGAACTCAAATACCTGTACTTTCTACTTCGTACATGTTGAACCCAAATACCTGTACTTTCTACTTCTTACATGTTGAACTCAAATACCTGTACTTTCTACTTTTCACATGTTGAACCCAAATACCTGTACTTTCTACTTCTTTACATGTTGAACCCAAATACCTGTACTTTCTACTTCTTACATGTTGAACCCAAATACCTGTACTTTCTACTTCTACATGTTGAACACAAATACCTGTACTTTCTACTTCTTACATTTTGAACACAAATACCTGTACTTTCTACTTCTTACATGTTGAACCCAAATACCTGTACTTTCTACTTCTTACATGTTGAACACAAATACCTGTACTTTCTACTTCTCTCATGTTGAACTCAAATACCTGTACTTTCTACTTCTTACATGTTGAACTCAAATACCTGTACTTTCTACTTCTTACATGTTGAACACAAATACCTGTACTTTCTACTTCTTACATGTTGAACACAAATACCTGTATTTTCTACTTCTTACATGTTGAACCCAAATACCTGTACTTTCTACTTCTTACATGTTGAACACAAATACCTGTACTTTCTACTTCTTACATGTTGAACTCAAATACCTGTACTTTCTACTTCTCACATGTTGAACTCAAATACCTGTACTTTCTACTTCTTACATGTTGAACTCAAATACCTGTACTTTCTACTTCTCACATGTTGAACACAAATACCTGTACTTTCTACTTCTTACATGTTGAACTCAAATACCTGTACTTTCTACTTCTTACAAGTTGAACACTAATACCTGTACTTTCTACTTCTTACATGTTGAACACAAATACCTGTACTTTCTACTTCTTACATGTTGAACACAAATACCTGTACTTTCTACTTCTTACATGTTGAACTCAAATACCTGTACTTTCTACTTCTTACATGTTGAACACAAATACCTGTACTTTCTACTTCTTACATGTTGAACACAAATACCTGTACTTTCTACTTCTTACATGTTGAACACAAATACCTGTACTTTCTACTTCTTACATGTTGAACTCAAATACCTGAACTTTCTACTTCTTACATGTTGAACTCAAATACCTGTACTTTCTACTTCTCACATGTTGAACACAAATACCTGTACTTTCTACTTCTCACATGTTGAACTCAAGTACCTGTACTTTCTACTTCTCACATGTTGAACACAAATACCTGTACTTTCTACTTCTTACATGTTGAACTCAAATACCTGTACTTTCTACTTCTTACATGTTGAACACAAATACCTGTACTTTCTACTTCTTACATGTTGAACTCAAATACCTGTACTTTCTACTTCTCACATGTTGAACACAAATACCTGTACTTTCTACTTCTTACATGTTGAACCCAAATACCTGTACTTTCTACTTCTTACATGTTGAACTCAAATACCTGTATGTACCTTTCTACTTCTTACATGTTGAACACAAATACCTGTACTTTCTACTTCTTACATGTTGAACTCAATACCTGTACTTTCTACTTCTTACATGTTGAACTCAAATACCTGTACTTTCTACTTCTTACATGTAGAACTCAAATACCTGTACTTTCTACTTCTTACATGTTGAACTCAAATACCTGTACTTTCTACTTCTTACATGTTGAACTCAAATACCTGTACTTTCTACTTCTTACATGTTGAACTCAAATACCTGTACTTTCTACTTCTTACATGTAGAACTCAAATACCTGTACTTTCTACTTCTTACATGTTGAACACAAATACCTGTACTTTCTACTTCTACATGTTGAACACAAATACCTGTACTTTCTACTTCTCACATGTTGAACTCAAATACCTGTACTTTCTACTTCTCACATGTTGAACTCAAATACCTGTACTTTCTACTTCTCTCATTTCCAAACAGCTGGTTCCTTTAGTCTGAATGTGTGTTTGGTGCGTGATCATTATTCTTTAGAGTCATTGCGTGCCTATTGATTTGAACACGATCCGTGTATCCATCATTTCCTGGTCTTCTCTAAAGAAGAGGGACCAATGGAAACGTTGTCATGTTGCCGTTGTTCAGCATGGAAACATTCATTAGCTAACAATGACATTATTGTTCTATTAATATAAAGGGAGGTCAGGTACTCTTTAAAACAGCTGCTAGTTATGGGTACTTTTTACTGAAGTACACTTCAAAGCCTCTTTACCTTTACTTGAGTAAAGAAGTTTAGTCAGTACTTCTACTTTACCAGAGTATCTTTAAACACGAGTATCTGTACTTCTACTTGAGGAAAGGATGTGTGTACTTTTGCCATCTCTGGTAGTGAGTAACAACGACACTGAGTCTCTGATTCTCTCTGTCTGCATGGCTTCAGTGATGAGATGTTCCGTGTGTTTCAGCTTCAGGAGGAGCTGGTTCAGATCGATAAGGGCAACACTCAGCTGAAGCTCAGCGTCTCCGAGCTGAGGCTCAAACTGAGGACCAGAGACAAGGAGATGCACAAGGAGGCGCAGAAGGTGAGAAACACTTTCAAACACTATAGAGATTACATCATGATACATGCTGCTTTTCCCTAGAAACAGATATTAGATATTGACTGGAGCTTCGTTTGTTTTCCTCCTCTCAGAGGCAACTGTGTCACATGTTTGAATTGTTAACACCCGCACTGTGTTTCTCTTTCACATTGGAGTATTCCACATTACATTTGTTAGCAAACCCGAGATATTTGATGGGAATAGCCTCTTTTTACCGGAGAGTAGACTTCTTCACTTCAATCAGGAGAGACGGTTTGGATGTAAGAATACATATTTATTGCCAGGAATACACAAATGAATGTAATGGGGTTTTGGCGATTAGGCCCCGTTGTGCAGGAGTATCATTCGGGAGGGGAGAACTGATCCGATGAAACGCCCCCCTGGGGTCTAGACACTGGTGGTGGTGAATGGATGGTTGGGTTTGGTCTGAAGGGGAGGGGCTTAGCTTGACCCTGGTGGTGGTGGTGAATGGATGGTTGGGTTCGGTCTGAAGGGGAGGGGCTTAGCTTGACCCTGGTGGTGGTGGTGAATGGATGGTTGGGTTCGGTCTGAAGGGGAGGGGCTTAGCTTGACCCTGGTGGTGGTGAATGGATAGTTGGGGTCGGTCTGAAGGGGAGGGGCTTAGCTTGACCCTGGTGGTGGTGAATGGATAGTTGGGGTTGGTCTGAAGGGGAGGGGCTTAGCGTGACCCTGGTGGTGGTGAATGGATAGTTGGGGTCGGTCTGAAGGGGAGGGGCTTAGCTTGACCCTGGTGGTGGTGAATTGATAGTTGGGTTCGGTCTGAAGGGGAGGGGCTTAGCTTGACCCTGGTGGTGGTGGTGGTGAATGGATAGTTGGGGTCGGTCTGAAGGGGAGGGGCTTAGCTTGACCCTGGTGGTGGTGAATGGATAGTTGGGGTTGGTCTGAAGGGGAGGGGCTTAGCGTGACCCTGGTGGTGGTGAATGGATAGTTGGGGTCGGTCTGAAGGGGAGGGGCTTAGCTTGACCCTGGTGGTGGTGAATTGATAGTTGGGTTTGGTCTGAAGGGGAGGGGCTTAGCTTGACCCTGGTGGTGGTGGTGGTGAATGGATAGTTGGGGTCGGTCTGAAGGGGAGGGGCTTAGCTTGACCCTGGTGGTGGTGGTGAATGGATAGTTGGGGTCGGTCTGAAGGGGAGGGGCTTAGCTTGACCCTGGTGGTGGTGAATGGATAGTTGGGATTGGTCTGAAGGGGAGGGGCTTAGCTTGACCCTGGATTCAGAGGGACAGGAGGTGCAAAGGGGTGGAGGAGGGTTGCGTCGAATCACCTGAAATGACAGCTGACAGAGGGGGGGGAGCAGATTTTAAAGCGGATCATCATCATAGCGGAGCGCTATGATAGGCTTGTGAGAATAGAGCGAAGTGATTGGTTAAGCTGGGGAGCGACGCCCCCGATCACTTATTGAGAGGAGAGAGAGTAGTAACATGGGAATAGTAAATGAATGAGTAAAGAAGGTCTTCCTGGTTGTATTTGCGCTGAGCTTCATTTGATTCGCTGTTAAGCAGAAGGGGATGGACAGTAACACAAAACGGTCGTCATTAAAGCAGATACTCACTTTATTTGTCTAACTGATGAAACATTGTTCATTTATATAATTAAATGCCAGGAGAAGTTGAAATCAAACTGATAATTTTGGCTCGAAGTTTTCCTTTAACTTTAAAACTAATGTATGCACCGCTTTGTTTCCAGTGTAGAAATAGTTAAAGACCCCAATAACTCTGTACAGTTACACATTGGCAAAACAACGATGTGGTTAAAAATGAAATATCCTAAATGTGTTGTGTGTCCAGCTGAAAGACCTAGAGACACATCTCCAGCGGCTCAAGGCAGACCTCCATAACTGTGTGGGCTTCATCCAGGAGCCCAAGAAACTGAGGGACAGCATGCAGATGATCTACGCCCGATATGTAGCTGACGGGGTGAGCATTCAGAGAGGACTCTTTAAAGTAGAGACACTACATACTGATATACACCTGAACATCAGCAAGAGAGGACTCTTTAAAGTAGAGGCACTATATACTGATATACACTTGAACATCAGCAGGAGAGAACTCTTTAAAGTAGAGACACTACATACTGATATACACCAGAACATCAGCAGGAGAGGACTCTTTAAAGTAGAGACACTACATACTGATATACACCTGAACATCAGCAGGAGAGGACTCTTTAAAGTAGAGACACTACATACTGATATACACCTGAACATCAGCAGGAGAGGACTCTTTAAAGTAGAGACACTACATACTAATATACAACCTGAACATCAGCAGGAGAGGACTCTTTAAAGTAGAGACACTACATACTGATATACACCTGAACATCAGCAGGAGAGGACTCTTTAAAGTAGAGACACTACATACTGATATACACCTGAACATCAGCAGGAGAGGACTCTTTAAAGTAAAGACACTACATACTGATATACACCTGAACATCAGCAGGAGAGGACTCTTTAAAGTAAAGACACTACATACTGATATACACCTGAACATCAGCAGGAGAGGACTCTTTAAAGTAGAGGCACTACATACTAATATACACCTGAACATCAGCAGGAGAGGACTCTTTAAAGTAGAGGCACTACATACATTGGGAGTCTGCTTGTGTTGTTTTCTAGGTGGAGCAAAGCGGCGTAGAAGAAGAAATTCAGAGGGCTTTCTGTCGGCAGCGTGATCACCTGGAGAAAACTGTCAACGGGCTCAAGACCAGGCTGGCCAAATCTGCTGAGCAGCATGAGCAGGTCTACGTCAAGATCATGAAGGTAAGACATGAAACAGAGATTCAAGCCTTATTTTACTTTAAAAATATTGGAACAATCCTAGTCTAAAGTTGTATTCACATGACTCGTCGCCCCCCCTGCAGGAGAACGTTGGTCTGATCACTGAAATCAATGAGCTGCGTAAGGAGCTGCTTCTGCAGAGAACTCAGGTCAAAGACTACAAATCCCAGCTGTCCGTCTTAAAGAAGTCCAAGAGGGCGCGTCCTAACTCTGAAGAAGGGACGAAAAAAGTAGTCTCAGCGTGAAGAGAGAAACTCAGAGACTCCCAACTCTCCCGTCAATGATTTGCATTTGTTAAGCTTGTATTATATGTATAAGATTGAAATGTGTCTTCATCAGCAAATCACTGTCTGAGTTATTCCTGAATATAAGACTGAGATTATGGAACAGGAAGAAATGAAACTACACGGTGTGAACTCAATAGATTTATTAACACATGTTTAACAGAAAAGGTGACGAGGATAGAAGACTAAAAAACACACACAGAGAGAACCAGAAGTATAACAGAGAACCAGAAGTATAACAATGAATAAAGTTTATTAAAGTTATTTCTTTAAGCTAGCGGACATCTTTGCAAGGCCCTGCTTCAGGTTGGCCGTTTGCACGTCGATCCTCCGGTGCATTGCGTCCATTGCCGTGGAGAGCGTGTCGTACAGAGCCTGAACACAAGGGGGGGGAGAGGGGGACGTGTTACTTTCAAAGCACCAAGGAAAAAACATCACATTTAACATGTCCTCGTACCTCAGACAAAGTGTTAACCATTAGCCAATCACCAACCAAGGTAACCCCCCCCCCCCCCCCTTATCACCTGAATCTCCTCCTAGAGCACCATTGTGTGATTTTAAACCAATCATCTCGCAGAGGGGCGTGGCCAGCAGCAGCTCATTAGCATTTAAAGTCACAGACACAGAATCAGCACTTTTGAAACAGCGATAATCTGTTTGGTGTTTCAGCCAATCAGAGATAGGCTCTGTATATATATCTGAGACATGTGATATATTGATGAACAACAGTATAATAGGGGACCTTTAAGACGTGCTGCTGCCAAGTTGAAGTCAAGCACTCTGGTTATAATTAGGGATGCACGATATTGGTTTTTTGAAACCGATACCGATAACTTCCTGCTTCTCAAGACCGATAACAAAAAAAAATTGATGCCACTAATTATTTTAACGCATGTGTATTTGTTGTCCTCGGCCGCCCCGTAGTTTCAGAGCGCATCGAGTTTAAAATACCATCTACAAGCTGATGCTGACAGCCCCACTCCTGCTGCCTGCTTGTGGCAGACCACACTTCCACGCTCACCGGCAGGCACCGACTGGCTGTTGGGAGGACCGGGAGGGTGTGTGTATGTGTGGCCCGAGCGAGCGAGAGAGAGACCTTACGTGCATTGTTGTTGTTAGCATCTGGTGCTAGCTAGCTGCGCTAACGGATATGGAGCTATTTAAATGAAAACAGAGGAGCGACATTTCGCCACAACTGCGCCGAGCACTTGACTTTATGCAGGAAGCCAGACAGTGGGACATTGTACGAAAAGTCAGCACACTCAGCACGGATAGTGCGCAACATGATTGCAGCGTCCAGGCAGCTCCGGTTCGAGCATATGCCTTGAGTTGCACATAGCTCCAACGCCCATACCACCGACGACATGTTTGTTTACTGTCCTGGCTTCACGGCCGCACACCATTTACGTCACAGCCAGGCATGAGTTAGGGAGCGCTGGATTTGTGAAGAACTCCCCTCTTCCTAAACCACTAATACCACAGTACTGGCAAAACGGGAGGAGCCGAGTGAAAAACAAGCGCCCCTCATCCCAATCCACCCACACCGCAGTATGTTTTTCTTACCCAAAAAATATATTGTATATTATCGGGGCTATTAATACTGGTATCGGGTTTATCGGGATGACATCATAATTCCTAATATCGTGCATCCCGAGTTATAATATCTGGTGGAATGTATTCCCCTCACCAAAATATGATGATTGTTATTTTAGCAGAATCTGAATAAACAGATTCAAATTGATGGGACTTAAACAGATGTTCCCGGTCAGTACGAGCTGTTCGTTTCGTACCTGAGCCTTCTTGGTCTCTTCGCTGCACACGTCCCTCAGACTCCGGATCTTGGCCTTCAGCTCCTGCGTCTCGCTGGAGATCTCCTGGATCTTATCGGCCATCTCCTCGCGCTTCTGATGGATGTGGTTGTACTCCCTGGAGAACAGATCGATTGTGTTTACATGCATGTAAATGATATATCATAGAATAGACAGGAAGTAAAATCATTTAGTGATAAGTACCCCAGCACTTCCTGCGCATGGTGCTCCTTCATCTCCTTCTTCTTCTGCCTCCGGATGTTCAGTTTGGACTCTTTGTCCAGCTTCATGCCCAGAGTTCTCTTCAGCTGACCCTCCTCGCTGCACAGGTTCTTCAACTCCTTCAGCTTCTTCTCGTATTGAGCTATCAGCGCCTGGTGCTGCACACACACACACACACACACACACACACACACACACACACACACACACACACACACACACACACACACACACACACACACACACACACACACACACACACACACCACACACACCACACACACACACACACACACACACACACACACACACACACACAACACACACACGATTATGTTAATAAAGCCAAACAACATTGTTTGCTCGTAAGACAAGTCCACGAGAAGTCTTTCTGTCCACACCAACAAAGTCTGATGAGGCACACCTCTCCCTTGACATCTAACGTGTGCGGTGCGGAGAGATCTCCCTCTCTAATTCAAAGGAGCTTTATTGGCATGAAAGTTGAACGAAACAATGTTTCCAAAGCATCAAAATAATTAACATACATTTCAAATGTTTGCATTTTATTAATATAAACTAGGGCTGTCAAACGATTAAACATTGTAATCAGATTAATCACAGCTTAAAAATTAATTAATCATGAATCAAGAAGGCGGATATATCCATTTAACATACAGTATCTATGTTTATTATAACATTTTTTTCGTACGGCACTTCCTACGCCGGTTTCCCTTTATGAATCACAATCAACTCGAAATGCGGTGCAGCTTCTGCGGGCTTCACGTAACGCCCATAGTTGCCTATAAATAGTCAAAGAAACGCCCATTCACTCATTCATTCTGACTGACTTTATGAAGGAGATCGCAGGAAATGACGACAGAGCAGCTAAAAAAGACGTCTCACACCGTGTCAGATTCTGGTTATTTTGGGAGGTGGAGATAAATCACATTGTTTGGTGGATGCAGTTTGAACCAGAGGAGCAGCATGGCGGTCGGGTCGTCACCAACATAAATAAATAAGTGGTCCGAAAAAGGTTCATGACAAAAAGAATACTCATCCTTCCTCAGGCAGTGTGTTTGTACCGGGGACAGGAGACCCCCCCCCTTGATGAGAGACTGTAAGAAAGGGGAATCCCTCCGGAGAGGAGTCATGACGACTGGATCTGATGTTTGTATTTGGTGGTTTGTGCCCCAGCTGTCGATCAGCAACTATATCCATAATCCACCATGAAGGAAATACAACTAATGTGTTGTGTTATATCAGCTGTACAATTGACCTCATGGTGTTCTTAGTTTCCACCTCCTGTGTTTTACGAGAGACTTATCAAGTACAGGGTTCACACACTTTTTCACCAATGATTTTCAATGACTTCTCCAGGACCTTTACCTAATTTTCCATGACCGGAAACATGACTCCTTCTCAGCGGTACCACTGGAAATGGTTTATTTTAACATGGAACAGGAAAATAAGGTCTGCATATGAAACATGTTGTGCCTATCCAAAACAAATAGGCTTACTAGCTTCTACACGCTAAAGCAGGGGTGGGGAACGTCCGGCCTCCGGGCCGTATACGGGCCGTTTTTCCTGGCCACGGTTAGGGTCCTTGAACACAACACGAGCCTCACGTGTCATCACGTGGTATATGTCTCGACTGACAGGGGTGCAGTTCTGACGGAGAGCACCAGAACGCAGCTCCGCTCCAGCACTTCAGAAACTGGAGTACCCATAAGTCCGTACACATGCTGCAGTTCCTGCGTGTCTGTGTCTTTAGTTGAAAACCCAGTGGCGATCTGCTCATCTGTCACACTGATCATACAGTCAATAACTTTGTTGTTATTAGCATCTGGTTAGCTAGCTATGCTAACGGATATAAGAAGCTTTTTCTCCAACCAGTGAGGTAAAGGCACATCTTTATATGATCATTATAGTTATAAAGAAACTAAAGTAAACAGGTATAAAATACTATATGACAGTAAAAATGATTAATAAACAAGAATACAGTTTGAAAGGAGAGTGATTTGTAAAATATCCATAAAGAAAAAGTAAATCTGCTTCCAGTTCTGTTCCATCTGGGTGTTGAGAGATGTTTCCATAGATCTAATGTTGCTCTCAAAGTGCAGATTGGTGCTTTTAACTTCAACATTTAAAAATAAATCTTCCCGGGGGAGCATGCCCCCCTGGATCGCCCTAGAGGAGGTTAGGTCCCCCCCCACTTAAATCATGTCCACATGGATAGGATACTAAATACATTTGCACACATCTTGTGTCCATATCTTTCTGTTGTGGTGGTCACGCCACACCGTGCACGTGCATGCGTACGTGAGTCCTGGCCAGATATCTGGATTAAGTTGCTTTTTCTTTGCACAGAATGAAATGAATGGGCTGTGATTTTAGTTTTTTTAAGCAGAGGTCAATAATTTGTACGGCCCTCTGAGGATATTGTAAAAATTGAAATGGCCCTTGAGAGGAAAAAGGTTCCCCACCCCTGATCTAAAGCAACTCAAATCTCTCACCAGCAAAACACCTCGTCAGTTAAATGCCATTTCACGTTTCATTACGTACAGTATTTATTATCATTATAGTATTAATATTTCGGCGATTAGATAAAATATAAATTATATTTGATGCAACTTTAGTTACATTTCCATGACTTTTCCAGGGCCTGGAATTAGCATTTTGAATTTCCATGACTTTTCCAGGTTTGTAAGGACCATAAGAACCCTGCAAGTAGGCTATTGGCGGACGGCATAAAACACGATAGTATATAAAACCATGCTCGTATCTAAACAACCTATAGAACTGCAACACGGCGTCAGTTTAGACGTAATTCTGTCCTTCTGTTTACCGCATCATTTATGAGAATGCATTTCTTAACAAGAGCACATAATCTAGGGTGATCAATAACATCTTCCGTTCCCTCTGTCGCTCCCCCTCTTTGCCATTTTCTAACGATGAGAGGTGTTTCTACAGACTGTTGTCCCACCTCCTGCTCCCGCTGCTTGCTGTTGGTCATGCTGCTCTCCAGGTCCTGCAGCAGGTTGAACATCTGCTGGAGCTTAGCCTCCGTGTGAGTCACGCTCTGCATCATGCTCTGCAGCTCCACCACCCGCCCGTCCGTGTCCTCCTGGAGTCAAACAATCATAACGTTCATTTAGTACAGCACCTTTCACAGAAATAACATTCACAAAGTGCTGCACAAGAAATAACACACGTATAAATGAAGACCACAGAAACGTGAATACAATGAGGCAGACATTAAGGTTAGCATGAAAACAAAACACAGAGCATGTGGAGTCCAGGAAGGAACAACCATAAGAACAGAACACACATCTCAGGCAGAAACTAAAGCCAATGGAAACAGATGGGTCTTCAGTTGCTCCTTAAAAGCTGATGTCTGTAGGGAGAGAGTTGGAGCACCACTTGAAAGGCAAGGTCACGAGCGCGTGGGACAGCCAGTAGTCTGAAGGCCTAAATGACCTACTGGAGAAAGTCACATATATCCTCCGGTGCATATATGCCGGAGACAACACATCCTACGTCTGAGTGACCCGACACAGATCAGCGTGAGAAGACGCCCGTTTCTTTAGAGAACTCACGATGGTGCACTTGATGGTCTTCACGTTCTCCCTCATCCTCTCCATCTGACTCTTCAGCTCCTCCGGAGACTGCACGATCTGAGACCTGAGTTTACTGACGTCTTCCTTCAGGTTGCTGACGTCCACCTTCACCTGGGTCTGAACACACACACACACCACACACACACACACACACACACACACACACACACACACACACACACACACACACACACACACACACACATTAAGGATCTTGATACTTACTGTATTTGCCATTTACTTCCCTGAAGTGGTTTCAAACAAGGTCTGCACAATTTGGAAAGTAATCAGGGCTTGAGCGTCGCAGCGTTCAGAGTAATTTGCTCACATTGGGTTCAACGCGTCACAGAGCGAGCAAGTCATTTCATTGGACGAGAGGCATACTATGAGAGCTGGTCACAGGGATGCGTTCAAATGTAGTCAGTAATTTGAGGAACTGTCAAAATGGCGAACACAGATAAAGTTGAGCTCGAAAATCCTCCAGCATCATTGAAGTCTCCGGTTTGGGAACATTTTGGTTTCGCAGTTACGAACAAGGATGACGGACAAAGACAGGTGGACCGAACCAAAGCTGTTTGTCGGCATTGTTCAACTAACATTGGTTACGCGGCTGGCAATACATCAAACTCATTTGAAAAGGCATCACCCGAATGTGAATATCACCGGTACCAAAAGAAAAAAGACTGAAGTGCAAACCCAACTCCCGCTAGCATTTAAGCCTCCACCACTCGCAAAGAGTTCAGACCGAGCCAAAGCTATTACAAACGCCAAGTATCCTTATGTTGCCATGTTAGCAAAGCGCTACCTGGCTGTATCTGCTACCACTGTCCCTAGAGAGGGTGTTCTCCACAGCAGGAGACATTGTTAGTGCCAGCAGATCTGCCCTTTCGGCAAGCAATGTGGACAAGTTCATCTTTCTTTAAAAAAACATGAAAATACAATGACAAGCAAGTCCTAATGTCAAACTGGCTGCTTAGGTACTAGTACAGTACAGTTCAAATACAGATTATTTCAGTTCATCGAAATGCTGCACCTTAATGTTTATTTTTGTATTTATTTGAGTGAATATTCAGTTTAATAATCATTTAAAACCACACACACTTTTTTTTTACCCCGGAGAAGAAAAAACGTATGAAGCAGCTTTTGACGGAGCGCCTGGGACCCCCTTGAGGGGGTTTCCAGACATGTCATTGCAGTAAATTAAAGGGGGTTTCATGTTGTCGTTGCTGTGGACCTTTTCAAATCGACCTTCTTTGGGGGGCCCCCTTCTGGTCCGGGGCCCCAAGCAGTTGCCTGCCTTGCCTAGTGTCCGCAAGCGCCGGCCTCTTCATTTACTCACTCCTCTTCATCCCCTATGGGTAATAAGGCTGAGAAGAGAACTATCGTATTTAGTCCTTAGCAATATGCTGCCTCTCTCCATGTAGGGATGGGTACCGAGCCCCGGTCTCAAACGGGTCCCGGGCCTGAATTATTAAAGACAGTGGTCTTTTTATCGGTACTGGAGACATTTAAAACATATAGGTCATATGTATTATTGCTACATTTGCAGTTTCGCCAACTCGTTTCTAATAAGCAATAAGACTACAAAATGCGTCTATGAAGTATTTTCGATCTTATTTTCGATCTTTCCAACCAAGAGATCTCTCTCTCCCGCCTGTGTGCGAGGGGGCGGGCGGTTTGTAAAGGCCTCCTGACTGTGTTACAGACTGCCATCCTGGTTAGTGGTTACTCTGGGTTCTGTCTTCAGGACTGAGAGTTGGATGTTTTTGTTAATTGGATGGGATTTGATTCAATAGTTCTCGTTTGCGTGGTTTTTTAAATATATTTGGCCTTTGTTTCTGTGATTGACTGATTTCCTCAAATAAAAAAGTTGATGAATTAGAATATTTTAAATTCGGGACGGTCCACATTCATCTCTGGACGGTTCCGGGAGGATGGTGAAAAAAGTTAGTCGAGAGCCCTGGAAGTAATGCTATTATTTGTAAAGATATTGCAATGTGTCTTGAGAGAGTGAGGAATATCTCGACTGCAGCTCCAAGTATTTTCCGCGTACTTTTCAACAACATTTTGAATTAATTGTGCAAACATCAAAAAGAGAATGTGAACAAAGACTTTATATCAGTCACGTACCAGTTTCTGAGTCTTCTCTGCATTCTTGCTTTTCAACTCCGCGATGACTTCATTTGCCACGTTCTGAAAAGGAGATTTCGTGTTACATTTGAGCACAAACACATCTAGAAGCCGGTGTTATTATCATGTGGCGCTTTAATCACCGATTCCTGGAACTTGTGCGTGGTGGTGGTCTGCAGCTCAGAGAGCGACGCTGCCAGCTCGTCGGCCTCCACCTGCTGCTCCGGGGGGATGGTGCTGAGGAACAGAATATATCTTTGCATTGGAAAAAGTGAGTGTAGTTTAAAAGGTCTCCTATTATACTGTGTTTCATCAATATATTATAGTTCTCAGATATACACAGAACATGTCTCTGATTGGCTGAAACACCAAACAGATCATTGCAGCATTACCCATAATCCCCTCTGTTTCAGCCCTGTTTCCAAAGTGCTGATTCTCTGTCTGTTACTTTAGATGAAAATAAGGAGCCCCTCCCCACGCCCCTCTGAGAGAGATTTGGTTACAAAGAACTCAATGGTGCTCTAGAGGAGATTCAGGTGATAAGGGGGGGGGGGGTTACCTTGGTTGCTGATTGGCTAATGGTTACACAAGACAACACATCGTTATGACATCATAAAGTGGCCAAAATCTGATCAGCTCATTTTTAGACAGGTTTTTATAGAAATGGATCAAAAAGAGAGAGAATCTTTTTTCCTGAAACTTTCAGAGTCTCTTTCCACAGAGGGGACACATGTTGATGTAGAAGAGACATGAAGAAGAGGGGACACATGTTGATGTAGAAGAGACATGAAGAAGAGGGGACACATGTTGATGTAGAGGAGACATGAAGAAGAGGGGACACATGTTGATGTAGAAGAGACATGAAGAAGAGGGGACACATGTTGATGTAGAAGAGACATGAAGAAGAGGGGACACATGTTGATGTAGAAGAGACATGAAGAAGTGGACACATGTTGATGTAGAAGAGACATGAAGAAGAGGGGACACATGTTGATGTAGAAGAGACATGAAGAAGTGGACACATGTTGATGTAGAAGAGACATGAAGAAGAGGGGACACATGCTGATGTAGAAGAGACGTGAAGAAGAGGGGACACATGTTGATGTAGAAGAGACATGAAGAAGAGGGGACACATGTTGATGTAGAAGAGACGTGAAGAAGAGGGGACACATGCTGATGTAGAAGAGACGTGAAGAAGAGGGGACACATGTTGATGTAGAAGAGACGTGAAGAAGAGGGGACACATGTTGATGTAGAAGAGACATGGAGAAGAGGGGACACATGTTGATGTAGAAGAGACATGAAGAAGAGGGGACACATGTTGATGTAGAAGAGACATGAAGAAGAGGGGACACATGTTGATGTAGAAGAGACATGAAGAAGAGGGGACACATGTTGATGTAGAAGAGACATGAAGAAGAGGGGACACATGTTGATGTAGAAGAGACATGAAGAAGAGGGGACACATGTTGATGTAGAGGAGACATGAAGAAGAGGGGACACATGTTGATGTAGAAGAGACATGAAGAAGAGGGGACACATGTTGATGTAGAAGAGACATGAAGAAGAGGGGACACATGTTGATGTAGAAGAGACATGAAGAAGAGGGGACACATGTTGATGTAGAGACATGAAGAAGAGGGGACACATGTTGATGTAGAAGAGACATGAAGAAGAGGGGACACATGTTGATGTAGAAGAGACGTGAAGAAGAGGGGACACATGTTGATGTAGAAGAGACGTGAAGAAGAGGGGACACATGTTGATGTAGAAGAGACGTGAAGAAGAGGGGACACATGTTGATGTAGAAGAGACGTGAAGAAGAGGGGACACATGTTGATGTAGAAGAGACATGAAGAAGAGAGGACACATGTTGATGTAGAAGAGACATGAAGAAGAGGGGACACATGTTGATGTAGAAGAGACATGAAGAAGAGGGGACACATGTTGATGTAGAAGAGACATGAAGAAGAGGGGACACATGTTGATGTAGAAGAGACATGAAGAAGAGGGGACACATGTTGATGTAGAAGAGACATGAAGATAGAGGGGACACATGTTGATGAAGAAGAGACATGAAGAAGAGGGGACACATGTTGATGTAGCAGAGACATGAAGAAGAGAGGACACATGTTGATGTAGAAGAGACATGAAGAAGAGAGGACACATGTTGATGTAGAAGAGACATGAAGAAGAGGGGACACATGTTGATGTAGAAGAGACATGAAGAAGAGGGGACACATGTTGATGTAGAAGAGACATGAATAAGAGGGGACACATGTTGATGTAGAAGAGACATGAAGAAGAGGGGACACATGTTGATGTAGAAGAGACATGAAGAAGAGGGGACACATGTTGATGTAGAAGAGACATGAAGAAGAGGGGACACATGTTGATGTAGAAGAGACATGAAGAAGAGGGGACACATGTTGATGTAGAGGAGACATGAAGAAGAGGGGACACATGTTGATGTAGAAGAGACATGAAGAAGAGGGGACACATGTTGATGTAGAAGAGACATGAAGAAGAGGGGACACATGTTGATGTAGCAGAGACATGAAGAAGAGGGGACACATGTTGATGTAGAGGAGACATGAAGAAGAGGGGACACATGTTGATGTAGAAGAGACATGAAGAAGAGGGGACACATGTTGATGTAGAAGAGACATGAAGAAGAGGGGACACATGTTGATGTAGAAGAGACGTGAAGAAGAGGGGACACATGTTGATGTAGAAGAGACATGAAGAAGAGGGGACACATGTTGATGTAGCAGAGACATGAAGAAGAGGGGACACATGTTGATGTAGAGGAGACATGAAGAAGAGGGGACACATGTTGATGTAGAAGAGACATGAAGAAGAGAGGACACATGTTGATGTAGAAGAGACATGAAGAAGAGGGGACACATGTTGATGTAGAAGAGACATGAAGAAGAGGGGACACATGTTGATGTAGCAGAGACATGAAGAAGAGGGGACCATGTTGATGTAGAGGAGACATGAAGAAGAGGGGACACATGTTGATGTAGAAGAGACATGAAGAAGAGGGGACACATGTTTGATGTAGAAGAGACATGAAGAAGAGGGGGACACATGTTGATGTAGAAGAGACGTGAAGAAGAGGGGACACATGTTGATGTAGAAGAGACATGAAGAAGAGGGGACACATGTTGATGTAGCAGAGACATGAAGAAGAGGGGACACATGTTGATGTAGAGGAGACATGAAGAAGAGGGGACACATGTTGATGTAGAAGAGACATGAAGAAGAGAGGACACATGTTGATGTAGAAGAGACATGAAGAAGAGGGGACACATGTTGATGTGAAGAGACATGAGAAGAGGGGACACATGTTGATGTAGCAGAGACATGAAGAAGAGGGGACACATGTTGATGTAGAGGAGACATGAAGAAGAGGGGACACATGTTTAATGTAGAAGAGACATGAAGAAGAGGGGACACATGTTGATGGAGAAGAGACATGAAGAAGAGGGGACACATGTTGATGTAGAAGAGACATGAAGAAGAGGGGACACATGTTGATGTAGAAGAGACATGAAGAGGAGGGACACATGTTGATGTAGAAGAGACATGAAGAAGAGGGGACACATGTTGATGTAGAAGAGACGTGAAGAGGACACATGTTGTGTAGAGAGACTGAAGAGAGGGGACACATGTTGATGTAGAAGAGACATGAAGAAGAGGGGACACATGTTGATGTAGAAGAGACATGAAGAAGAGGGGACACATGTTGATGTAGAAGAGACGTGAAGAAGAGGGGACACATGTTGATGTAGAAGAGACGTGAAGAAGAGGGGACACATGTTGATGTAGAAGAGACATGGAGAAGAGGGGACACATGTTGATGTAGAAGAGACATGGAGAAGAGGGGACACATGTTGATGTAGAAGAGACGTGAAGAAGAGGGGACACATGTTGATGTAGAAGAGACATGGAGAAGAGGGGACACATGTTGATGTAGAAGAGACATGGAGAAGAGGGGACACATGGTGATTTAGAAGGAGACAGTGAAGAAGAGGGACACTGTGAGGTAGAAGAGACGTGAAGAAGAGGGGGGGGACACATGTTGATGTAGAAGAGACGTGAAGAAGAGGGGACACATGTTGATGTAGAAGAGACATGAAGAAGAGGGGACACTTTGATGTAGAAGAGACATGAAGAAGAGGGGACACATGTTGATGTAGAGAGACATGAAGAAGAGGGGACACATGTTGATGTAGAAGAGACTGAAGAAGAGAGGGACACATGTTGATGTAGAAGAGACATGAAGAAGAGGGGACACATGTTGATGTAGAAGAGACAGGAAGAAGAGGGACACATGTTGATGTAGAAGAGACTGAAGAGAGGGGACACATGTTGATGTAGAAGAGACATGAAGAAGAGGGGACACATGTTGATGTAGAAGAGACAGGAAGAAGAGGGGACACATGTTATGTAGAAGAGACATGAGAAGAGGGGACACATGTTGATGTAGCAGAGACATGAAGAAGAGGGGACACATGTTGATGTAGAGGAGACGTGAAGAAGAGGGGACACATGTTGATGTAGAAGAGACGTGAAGAAGAGGGGACACATGTTGATGTAGAGGAGACGTGAAGAAGAGGGAGACATGTTGATGTAGAAGAGACATGAAGAAGAGGGGACACATGTTGATGTAGAGGAGACATGAAGAAGAGGGGACACATGTTGATGTAGAAGAGACATGAAGAAGAGGGGACACATGTTGATGTAGAAGAGACATGAAGAAGAGAGGACACATGTTGATGTAGAAGAGACATGAAGAAGAGAGGACACATGTTGATGTAGAAGAGACATGAAGAAGAGGGGAACACATGATGTGATGTAGAAGAGACATGGAGAAGAGGGGACACATGTTGATGTAGAAGAGACATGGAGAAGAGGGGACACATGTTGATGGAGAAGAGACATGAAGAAGAGAGGACACATGTTGATGTAGAAGAACATGAAGAAGAGAGGACACATGTTGATGTAGAAGAGACATGAAGAAGAGGGGACACATGTTGATGTAGAAGAGACATGGAGAAGAGGGGACACATGTTGATGTAGAAGAGACATGGAGAAGAGGGGACACATGTTGATGTAGAAGAGACATGGAGAAGAGGGGACACATGTTGGGGTTAATCTCAAAATAGTGCTGACATGAAAACGTAATTATTACTGATAGGTGAACAAGGTGAACCTCGAAAAGTCCTTTAGAAAAGAAATCCCGCTCCACAGAAGTGGAACTACATAATCTTTAGT